GCTACGTCTACACTGGCAGCTTCTTGCGCAAGAACTGTTTTGTGGAAGAGTTCTTGCGCAAAAAGTCTTCCACAAGAGTGCATCTACACTGGCATGCGCTTTTGCGCAAGAGCATCCATGGCAGTGTGGACGCTCTCTTGTGCAAGAAAGCTCTGATGGACATTTTAACTATAGGGGTTTCTTGCGCAAGAAATTCATGTTGCCTGTCTACACTGCCCTCTTGTGCAAGAGGGCTTATTCCTCGTGGGGAGAGGAATAACTCTTCTGGAAGAAGCCCTGTTTTCCGACGCTGTACTATAAATTTACTTGTGCAAGAATGCGTGTGCAGTGTAGACATCCAGCAAGTTTTTGCGCAAGAACAACTGTTCTTGCGCAAGAAGCTGCCAGTGTAGACATAGCCTCAATGTGCACCAGCAGTCACAAAAGCAAGCAGAATGTTAGGAATCATTTAAAAAAGGGATAGAGCAGCAGTTCTGAACCGCCGGGCCATGGCCCACTGCTGGGAGCTCTGGGAGCCAGGGCTGGGGTACACCGCTCTTGCTGTGGCTGTTGGGAGAGGTGTGTCCTGCCCCATCTTTAAGCCAACCAGCGCTGGGCAGGAGCAGGGTCTTGGAAGGGTGCTTCCCTGCATGGTGGGAAGGCCACGTGGGGAAGTGCTCTTCTGTGGCCAGGAGGAGACCCCACACTGCGCAGCAATCCCGCCATGCTCCACAGCAATCCCGCCACGCAGGGAAGCACTTTTCTGCATCTGGAGGAGACCCTGCCACTTCCTGGCTCTGTTTGGCTGAGAGGCAGGGCAGGACATGCCTCTCCCAACAGCCACAGCAGGACGGGAGGTACTGGGCGGTGTTCCCCGGCCCCCAGAGCCGCTGTGACATCGCAAAAGCGCAGGGCTAGGTGCGGGGTGCTGGGCTCCAGGGGCGGGGCTAGTGAGGGGGGTTCTGGAGGCTGAGCTAGTAGTGGGGGGGCTGGGGATGGGGCTAATATTGGGGGAGGCTCTGGGGGGGGTTTT